TGGCCATTATATGGAAATTCAAAGATGAATTCAGTAGCCTCATGGGATGGTGAGATTTAAGCTAGTCCTTGAGGAGTCAGGAAGAATTTTTTTTCCCCCCCAGTACTGAGGATTAAACCTAGGGGTGCTTAACTACTGGGTCACATCCCCAGTCCTTTTAAAAATATTTTATTTAGAGACAGGGTCTGCTGAATTGCTAAGTGCTTTGCTAAATTGCTGAGGCTAGGCTGGCTTTGAACTCATGATCCTCCTGCTTTAGCCTCCCAAGCTGCTGGGATTACAGGCATGTGCCACTGCACCCAGTTTAAGAGTCAGGAAGATCTGTGCAAGGGAAAGGGAATGGCAACAGGGGGAAAAAAAAAGTTAAAAAGTTCAAAGGCAAGAATTATCCTGGTTTGTCTGCAGAAGTCACTGAAGACCTCTCGGGTATGAGGAGCTGGGAATTCACACTTGGAAACTACCTACTTTGTATACACATTGTATATTAACGCACTTAATTCTTATAGTAACCCTATAAGGTTTATACTGTTGCTACTGCACTTAAAAGATAAAGAAATTGAAGCTTAGAGAGACAAATCTTTATATGTCTAGGGTCATATAAGATAAGAGGTAGAACTAGGCTTTAAACACAGGTCTATATGCATCCAAAACTCCTTTCAGATTTTGAAGAACTCTGAATGACAAAATGAAGGACCAGGCATGACCTGAATTAAATTTGGAAAAGCCAGAACAAGTCCTTGTAGTTTAGCTAATACATACATCTACAAACATCAATTTATTTATTAAATGAAGATTTTTTTTTTTTAATGCCACTTAAAGTCAACCCTAACCCCAGGAGGGCTACTCTTGATTTAGCATCCTACAGCATTGACATCCCTTCTTTTTTGGCATACATTAGACCCTACCTTTTAGCATATGCACTCCTTAAATGGGCTAGGGGAACTTATTCAATCCAGTTCCGGCCAAAGGGTTTCTGAGAAAAGGGTTGTCCTGGGAGAGAGGATGAGGTTCTGAACTAAATGTGAATAGGGAAAATTGGGCTGCTGCCACCGCTCAAACTTATGCATACTCAATGCTTCCTGCCTCTTGGGATGAAAGGCTTTGTTTCTGTTACCTCCTGTGTGTACAGTACATTACAGTTTACAGAGCATATTCATTATCATGCTTAGGATTCTCCATGCATCCTCCTGAGGCTGGGAGGTCAAATATTATCACTCCTGTTGTAGTGATGAAGAAACTGAGGCTCCAGGAAGGGAAGTCACTTATTTGCTCAAGGTCACATAGTTAGCTGGTTATGGGTAACTTGGAGACTATGTGATTCATTGAGGAAAACAGTCTTTTAGAGTACAAAACTGGGCTTGTGTCCTGGCTCCCATACTAACTGTGTGACATTGGGTTACTATAACTGCTCTGAGTTTGTTTCCTCTGTCAGTAGAACCAAGTGACATTGTACTGTATAAAGCCCATGTTAGGGCTTTTTATGAAGGGTCAAGGAGGTCAGATTTAGGTATCTGGTGCTCTTGGCCTTATACCACACCTTGTTTTGGATACTACCTCATTCATAATCCATTTCCGGTGTCAGTTGTTTCCTCACTGGCCCGGAAGCTACCCTCTCCCTCCCTGCTCCTTTGAGGGCCGATTTACTGATTGTTGGTTGATAACTACATCCCTAGAGAGCCATTTGTACTTTCAGTCTCTTGGGGCTTATAACTGCTGGCCAGAGTTCCCTCCTTGCTTTCCTGCCTGGGCCAGCCCATTGCTAGGCTTGTGGGAGTGAGTTCTCAAAGGCCACACCCACTCCCCTACTTTATGTGGAACTGGAAGATTACAGGCCCAGGAGTTCTGCTATAAAACGCCAGGGCCTCCAGATAATCCAGTGGGCACAAGTAGTAGCACCTACTCCTACTGCCTTTTGTCACAAGCATTTTCGGCTGTTTCCAGGAAAGGGAAACTGAGGCCCAGAAAGGGTAAGTGTCTCATGTTTGGTTGCAGTGAGTCAGGAGACCTAGGGCTAGAACTTAAGTCTCTGGATTTCCACTCTGAGATTCTCTCCACTGCCCTAGAGGGCCCTTGGTTCCTTTCTTGACCCATTTTCTGAGGATTTCTACCTAGATGTCCTGAGGCTGAGCAACATACATACTCTGATGCAAATAAGGTGGAAATACTGTCAGTGTTAACCAGAGAGGCAGCCTTATAAAAGTCAAACCATTTCTTTCCCAACTGGTCCCAGGGGAAACTGGCCTAAAAGAGAACTGGGACTAAGTCCTTTGTCCTTTTTTCCAGCCCCCACACCACCAAAGTTCCTTTTCTACTTTGCAGTAGACAGACAGACACACACACACACACACACACACACACACTGTCTGATTTTTGAGACTTTTGAACTGAGAGATCAAATGTTGGGATCCATATTTTGCAGACTCTGTAGTAGATCACTACAGTACTAGTGTATTGTACCCTCCTTTGTTTGTGCTACCTTGGGAAAAATAAAAATAGCTGATATTTATTGACCAGGTACTATTCTAAATGCTTTACGATTTCTAAAATAGGCAAATGTGATGGCACCATACTTGTAATCCCAGTGTCTGGGAGGCTGAGGCAGGGATATCACAAGTTCAAGGTCAGCTTCAACAACTTATTGAGATCCTGTTTCAAAATAAAAAGGACTGGGGATGTGGCTTAGTAGTAGAGTGGCCCTGGGTTCAATTCCCAGTACTGGGAGGAGAATACACACACTCACATACACAAACATATATATAAAACTCACATTAACCAATGACGTTATTATTTTATCCCCACATTACGGATAAGAAAAAGAGGCATAGAGGGGCTAAGTGGTTTGTCCAGGGTCACAGCTAGAAAAGAGCAGAACCAGGATTTGACCTTAAATTATCCTAATATCAGTGCTGATGTGTTTCCCACCACATTACATTGCTTTTTTGTAACATGTTGCTGGATATTGCTCATTTGTATCTCTCTTTCTCTCTCTAATTGGGGATAATGTCAGGTTGAGGAAGTAGGAGCTGGTTTCTGTGTGTAGGAGCAGGGGGGACACTGGTTGGCCTATTGGGTCCACCTTGGCCTGGGTGAGCACATGAGAATACCTGGTGTTCCCAAGCAGAGTTGGGCAGGGCCCAAAACACATTTCTTGTGTTTTATTTAGAGACAGTGTCTCACTAAGTTGCTTAGGGTCTCACTAAGTTGCTGAGGTTGGCTTTGAACTTGCGATCTTCCTGTCTCAGCCTCCTGGGCCACTGGGATTAAAGGAGTGTGCCACCACGCCAAGTCCTATGGTCTTCTTTAAGGGTCACAAGGGAGTCCTTTGTCTGAGGACAGATAAGGTGCCAAGGCAAAACTGGTGCAAGGAGGCAGGTGCAGCCTCCAAGCAGAATGCCATTCTTCTTCCCAACAGGTAGAAGCCTTCTTAACCAAGTGTCCCTCTCATTTCTCCATAGGTCACTGCATCCAGAGGGGCCCAGAAGAGGCAGGAGGCACTGCCTCCACTACTATAGCTTTATCCACAATGCAGAGCATCAAGTGTGTGGTGGTGGGCGATGGGGCTGTGGGCAAGACGTGCCTGCTCATCTGCTATACAACTAATGCCTTCCCCAAGGAGTACATCCCCACAGTGTTCGACAATTACAGTGCCCAGAGTGCAGTTGATGGGCGCACAGTGAACCTGAACCTGTGGGACACTGCGGGCCAGGAGGAATACGACCGCCTCCGCACACTCTCCTACCCCCAGACCAACGTCTTTGTCATCTGTTTCTCCATTGCCAGTCCACCCTCCTACGAGAACGTGAGGCACAAGTGGCATCCAGAGGTGTGCCACCACTGCCCTGATGTGCCCATCCTCCTGGTGGGCACTAAGAAGGACCTGAGATCTCAGCCTGATACCCTACGGCGCCTCAAGGAGCAGGGCCAAGCGCCCATCACACCTCAGCAAGGCCAGGCACTGGCCAAGCAGATCCATGCTGTGCGCTACCTCGAGTGCTCTGCCCTGCAGCAGGACGGCGTCAAGGAAGTGTTTGCTGAGGCTGTCCGGGCTGTGCTGAACCCCACGCCAATCAAGCGTGGGCGGTCCTGCATCCTCTTATGACCTTGGCCCTCAGCTTGGAGGCTGCCCCTGACCCCCCACCAGTTGTGCCTTGGCGCCTTGTCTGCCCCCAGCTGTGCCTTAAGGACTAATTCTGGCACCCCTTGCCAGGGGGCTCCCTGAATACCTTTTTTTCCTTAAGGAGACCCATGGGAAATGGACTTTGGGTCCTACCCCACTCTGCTTGAGAACACCAGGTATTCTCATGAGCTCACCTGGGCCAAGGTTGACCCTCCCCAAGAGGCCAACCCAGTGTCTCCACCTCTCACATTTTCTGCTACTGACCAGTCATCCAGCTTTCCACAAAGTTGTTGCCTATTGTGGTGCCTCCTCTCAGGTTAGGGGCTATCAGCCATCTCTAACCTCTGCCCTTGCTGCTCTTGGAATTGCCCCCCAAGATGTCTTCTCCCTCCCCCAAGGAAGGAGCCACAGAATCCTGAGAAGATAAATGTGTCCTAACCTGCCCCCATGTGCCCAGGCCTTATGCATTTGCTGACTGACTCAGCCCCCATGCTCCTGGGGGCCTTTCCTACCCCCAACAGCATCAATAAAACCTCCTGTCTCCAGTGGCCCTGGCTCCTCCCTGTGTGCTGGGCATTAGGGGGTGGGCATGGACTAGGGCTCCCCAGAGACTGGGAGGCTTTTGTTTCCTTTAAGAGGGGACAGGAGACAATAGGCTTCATTGTGGTCCCCCACCCCGCCCCCCAATTTCCCTAACAAAGCTCTGGGGCCCATCCACAGATGCTGGGAACCTCCATCTATAAACCTCCATTTTGGAGCCTTAGGAGACTCTAGGCCCAAAAACATTCTGCCATAGACTTATTCCCTCCATCCTGGAACCCATCTCTTACCTCAGTTACTATTAAACAAGGAATGAACCTCAAGAGTAGAAAGGTTAGCCCAGGTTGTTGGCAAAAGAAAAAAAAATTTTATTTTCATTTGAAATAAAATGTACAACCAGAAGAGCTCAGGGTCTGGGGTAATAGGGAGTTATACACCAGGGAGCCTGTGTTGTGGTAGGGAACTGTGCCTCTTGATCCCTCTACCCCATATCTTTGCAAGGAGGAAGGGTATATAGGCTAGTGATTTCAGAAGGGAAGAGAAACACATGCCGTGCTGGTGCTTTTTCTGGAACAGGTCATCCTTCAGGTATAGACCACTTCCATCAGATGATGTCAGAAGCACACTGGCAAAGCCATTGGAGATCACACACTGCCACCTCCCCCCATCATACACATGGACACACTGAGGCTCAGATAGGTAAGGATACAAACCTTAGGGCCCACACCAGACTAAAGAAGTGAAGTCAGGACTAAAACACTTGGGCAAACCCAGCAGGGGACTACAGCCACAGGCCTAAATGTGCATGGAAGATTATCAGGTTCTAGTCAAATGAATGACCTGGAGAGAAATGGCTATGGTTTTGAAGCTGCAGCCACTGCTCAGCAGTCCCTAACCTCAGTGAGAGGTGGCTAGGTAAAAGCCAAAAATTGGATGGTGGTCATAAACCTCTGAACTTTTTTTAGCACCAAGTGGTGGAGCTCTCCTTCCAGCTCAGCTTCTTGGGGCCTGTCAGTTTAGATTGACGTTACTTGAAGGCCCCTGTGGCTGTGTGAGGGTTGAGGAGGAGAAGCCAGAGATGCTGGGGTCAGCCTTGTCCTATGCCCTTCTTCCCTCTCCCCCATTTCAGAAGGACCCAGGAGGACACAGGTATGGGGAAGGCCAGAGTGGTTTCTTGTTTCTAGGCAGTGGGCTACTTTCTCCCAGCAGCAGAGGTGTTAGAATCGCTTTTCCTCTGGTTGAGAGGTTATGAGCAGCTCTTTGTTCCCGAAGTCCCACCAGGCTGTCATGTGGAATGCCATGTTGGTTAGAACGACAGTGTACTCCAGGATGGCAAAGATGGTGTATACTGTTTTAAGGACACAAGTAACCTCCTGTTACTTCCTTTTAGGAGCCTCTTAAATCACCAACCCACTACAGAGAAATAATAGTAGTCAGCCAGTACCCAAGACTATTGCCCACTCTCAAAAACATCACAACTGCCCCAAAGACACTTATGACCATCTATGGATCCTAGCCTGGCCTCACCTCCAGCCTCACAATACATGTTGTGTCGAAAGTAGACAGCCAGTGCCAAGAAGAAGGAGACGAAGTTGATGATGAAGAGCCGCTGTTTCCAGCTGTAGGACTTGCGATCCTAGGGGGTGGGCTGTCTGATCACTCTGCAGCTTATTGGGTATATGTGGGTAGCTTCCCCTCTTAGCCCCAGCTTCTAAGGGCTGGGCCTTCCCTCCCTTGGTTCCCATAGTGGTCATAGAAGGGGGCAGAGGCATGGGCAGCAGGAATGACAAGTATGTTCACATCCCTGATGAGCCCTGCCTCTTCCATTTCAGAGGGATGGAGTATAAAAGTTACATGGAGTCACCCACCAACCCAACACTCCTCAGATACTTTGTGTGGCAAAGAATGGCATGTGTATGGGTGGGTGGAATCTAGACTGCAGTACCCTGACACTGTCCCTAAGCCACTAGAGCCTGTCTGCTACTTACTCATTTTACCCCTATTTGGAGTCTCCATTTCTTCTATTCTAATCTCCTTTACTACCCAAACATAATCCTAGATTCTGACAAATAAGCCACTTTTAACTTGTTTCCATGCCTCAGCCCCAAACCCAGTACCCCTCTGCCAGGGTTTCTAGAACTCCAGTTCCCACCCCATCATTACCAGCATCCTGAGGACAGATGTTCTTGATTTTCTTCTGGGCCCCGTGGAGCCCAGTAGGGTAGACCGTACCTCCTGACTTACTGTGTGCTTCTTGGTCAGCCGCCAGAGAATGCAGGTGAGGAGCATGTGACCGAGGGAAGCAGCGATGAACACAATGAAAGCATTTTCATGGACGGCTGGAGGGAGAGAGGAGGATGGGGAGCACACACAGCCAGCAGCGCCCTCACCCTTCCACAGGAAGGTTTGTATGTGAGAAGGGGTGGGCTCTGTCCCTTTCCCAAACCCTCTTCCACCCCTCCACCGTGGGAGCACCCACTGAAGTCCTCAGAGGAGGAGACATAGGTGAGCACTAATAGTGCGAGGTTCTCCACGACGTTGAGGCCAAAGTTGAGGCGGCAGAGCAGGCGGTAGCCAGGACACGGGGAGGCACAGCTGAGGTAGTGGTTCCAGTAGGCGAAGGCCGCCAAGAAGCGGGGTGCTGAGTGTAGGCCAATGCAGAAGCGCCACACATAGCGCTGGGGCACCTCTCCGCCGATGGCTGAGCTCACCGAGGGTAGATAATTGGGCACCTAGAAAGTTGTGACTGGTCCGGGCATGTCCTCCACTGGTCCTGCCCACCCAATCTATCACAGTCACGGGCTCTGCTCCAGCCCCTTCCCTTCCAGGAAGTCTTCTTTTAAGTGCTCCCAGAGCTCTCCCAAGAGACCTTCCCTTCCAGGTCATGGGCCCAGGGTGCTGGGTTTTTATTCCCCAGCCAGACTGAGATTTGTGCAAGGGCAGGGTAGGCATATTCTATCTCCCCACAAACTGGAACCTGCACATTTGGACAGGTGTGTAGATGGGTTCAAATGCTCCTATGCCCATAGCTTAGAGCTGTGTCTCAGAAAAGACCCCAGGGGAGTCCCAGGAATCCAGGACTCTAGAATTAGTCCTGAGGACAGAGATGTCACAGACTCTCTGACCTTCCTTAGAACAGGGCTACCTAGCTGAGCTGTTCCTCTCACTGCTTCCAGTTCCACTCATTCTTCAGGGTAAATGTGCCCAGGTGGTAGAGGGTGCTGAGAGATCCTGAGGGAGCTAGGCAAGAAGGGTACCCCTATACTGATCATGTTTAAGAAAGTGGATGCTTCTAACCTGATATAGTCTGAGAAAATGACCCTGTTCTTGTGCATCTCCCTATCCATCTTTCTCAATACCTGGAACTCCTCCTTCCTTAAGGAAATGCAACCTCATTGTAGGCTGAGAAAAGGGGAGGCTTCAAGGACTGGTATTGCTTGTATGAGCAGTGAAACAATATGGGACAAGTGAACAGTACTTGAGATGGAAACAGGAATGGGAGGAGGATCTCTTAATACTTTCTGGCCTACAGCAGTGCTTTGCAAACTAAGTACAACTCACTGGGAAGATGTGTGAAAATGCAGGTTTTGAAACCTGAGCACCTGTATTTTTAAAAGTTTCCAAGACTGGAAGTTACCAGTTCATTGCCCACACTTTTCATGGCACTTTTGTTGTTGTTGTTGTTGTTTGGTTTGGTTTGGTACCAGGGATTGAACCCAGGGGTATTTAACCACTGAGCCACATCCCCAGCAATTATTTATTTATTTATTTATTTAGTGAGAGGGTCTCACTAAGTAGCTGAGGCTGGCCTCGACCTTGCAGTCCTTCTGCCTTGGCCTCCCAAATTGTTGGGATTACAGGCATGCACTACCACACCCAGCTTCCATGACATTTTTAGACTCTCAACAAGAGCCAGGGCAGTGTCAGAAATCCAGTGACCCAGCAAGGGAATGAACTTGTTCTCTTGAAGGAATAAGTCTTCAGAGATGGAGCTCTGAAAAACTATTCCTTTCCTCTAGTGGAATGGATCTACAGACTATTGGGAAGGTAGGCAAAATTAGAGACAGCTCACAGGGGAGGGGTGGGCCTGAGGAAGGGTTCAAGTCAGGGACTTCACGGCCTCCGTAAAAAATGTGTGGAGGAAGCTAAGTATAGCACTGTCAAGTTCAGCTCTGTCACAGGAAACTTAGTACAGAGTTCTCCAAGAAGAGACACTGCTCTCAAGGCCATGGCTTGAGTAATCAGTGCAGAGGCAGCAGGAGGCTTTGGAACTTCATAAAGATGGGTCTGTATCCAAGCTTATCTGGGGGACCTTGAGCAAGGCACTTCACCTCTCTGAGTTCCAATTTCTTCATTGGTAACCCGGGTATAACACCATTAACCTGCAGAGTGATTATGAATTCTAAATGTAAGGTATGCAAAGCATCTGCAGTGTCTGGCACATAGTGGGTATAATAAATGACAGATTTCAGAAGATAGACTTCTCTGAAATGCCTGCAGGCTTTTCTCTGAAAAGACTGGCCACTGTGAGTCAAGTGGCCAGTCAGCCAGGCCTGTTTATGGGTTGAGAGGCAGGACACCAGATACAGTGAGACCTCCAAGTCTCCTTACTTTTTTTTTTTTTTTTTGGTGTGTGTGTGTGTATAGTGCTGGGGATTGAACCCAAGGCCTTGTACATGTGGAACAGGCACTCAACTAACTGAACTATATCCCCAGGCCCGCCTGACTTGATTTTTGAGCCTCTCCATTACTCTCAGTTCGGTTAATGAGTGTTGCCTTTTCTTCCTGGAATATTTATTCTGAAGATTGCTCCCTAATCTCAGCTACTTTAAGAGGAATAGGACCAGTACCTAAGCCTGACTGGAAGAGCTCAAAGCACTCAAAAGTGATGAGTCCTTTCTGATGCTGGGAACAAGTACTGGGTAGAGATGATGGAGAATTGGGGGGAGACCTTGGGGAGAAGTGAAAAGTTAGAGCCTTGTGACTGCATTCTGTTTTCACAAAATCCTCTCAGATTAGGATGAGAATCTAAGAGCAGGGATTGTCTCTTCACACACAGGGGCACATGCGTGCATACTCACATATGCACAAACAAAATCAAGTATGTATATATATACCCCACCTCCACCCCCATTCCCAGCACATAAGTTGCTCACTCACCAACAGTGCCAGCAATAAGCAACAGCAAGATCTATCAGAGACCAGATACACAGCTCACTCCAAACCTCTCCATGAGCCCAGAGCTAAAAGTACTGAGAAATGGGTAGAAAACCCCTTTCTTTCTTTCTTTTTTTTTTTTTTTTGGCAGTACTGGGGATTGAACCCAGGGCCTTGTGCATGGAAGGTAAGCACTCTACCAACTGAGCTATATCCCTAGCCCCTGATAGAAAACCCCTTTCTAATAGCGCAGGAGATCAGAAACTCACAAAGTGGGGTTTCTAAGAATTCCCCAGGTTTTTACCATTAGAGATCCATTTCTTTGGTCTCAGATTAAAAGTCCTCCCCAAATTATAAATGACTTTTTCTACCTGCCTTGCTGCCTCCTCATCCCTTGCCAACTAAACAAAAATTTTAATTCCTGTCAATCCTATTTCCTTTTCCTCTCTGGACTCCATCCTCTTTCCTTTCTAACCTCATGGTCTCCATCTTAGCTCTGGTCTCCAATAGTATGCGTCACTACACTAGCATCCCTATTCTTGTATCAACCCTTAAATCTGTTCTCCACTCAGGAGCTGAGATGATCTTCTAAAGGACAAATCTAATCATATCCCTTTTCCTGCTTAAAATCTTTCCAAGGCTCCTCATTGCCCTCTGGATAAAATCCAAAGCTGTCGGCCTGGCATTCACAAAGATCCTTCTTCACATCCCCCTATCTCCCACAAACAATGCCCCCTCCTATAGAAAGTCAGACTTCCCCAACATCCAAGCTGGGTTAGGTGCTTCCTCTGATCCCTGAAAACCTTCATTCCCTTTTATTGCAAGAATCCCAACTCACTATATTTCAACTGTGCCCAAGGACTGTCTCTTGCAGGAATGAGATGCTGAGAACAAGTCCATTTTCAGCTCCATGTCCCTGACATAGAACTTCTACCCCTGGTCCCTCAGGAAAGATCTAGTGAACTGATCTGGAAAGCAAGAAGTCCATCCAGATTTCCAGCTAGCAGAGCCCTGAGTGTACCCCACAGGCTGTGGGGCTAGGGCTGCTCGTGGAGAAACAAAGCTTGAGAATCCTAGAGTAGGGCTAAGCCACCTGTTACTTTTGGCTCTGGGCCTCACTGTACCTTCTCATTACTGGCTTCCTTTGTAGTCTGGTCTTTTTTCAGCTACCTCTCCCTCTCGTGATCTCTCCTGGCCAGTCCTCCAACCCCTTCCCTTCTCTCCTACATCAACCTCCCAAACCCCAACTCCATTTGAACGTTCTTTCTTTCTTTCTTTTTTTTTTTTTTTTCCTTTTTGTTTGTACTGGGGATTGAACTTGAACTCAGGGGCACTTAACCACATCCCCAGCCCTTTTATTTAAGTTAGAGACAGAATCTTGCTAAATTGCTTAGGACCTTGCTAAGTTGCTGAGGCAGGCTTTGAACTTGTGATCCTCCTGTCTTAGCCTCCTGAGCCACTGGGATTATAGGTATGCGCCACCACGTCCAGCTCCTTTGGACTTTGTATAATCCTCTTCCAATTCCAATTCGTGGAGGACTGTGACTCTACAGACACTATGAATCTCTACTGCCAAATTCTCTATCCCTCTCTGACCCTCTAGTTCTCTCCTACTCTCCAATCCTGCCTCACCACGATCTCTTACCCTGGCCCTGACCCAAGTGCTAAGGAGCCTGGCACTCACCCCACAGTCAGTGGCCACTGTGTACTCAAAGTGGAACACCAGGGACCAGATGATGCAGAAGAAGAAGCCGAACGCAGGGAAAGTGATGACCCACCAGACCATGGCTGTGAAGCGGAGCCGGAACACAGTCCCATCGGGGTCCAAGGGCTGGGAGGCCGCAGAGAACATCCTGTAGGAAGTGGCCCAAGAAGGGCAAGGGACACAACTTGGGGCCTGGTGAAATATCTGGGCTTGGGAAAGTGGGGCCTTTTCCAGAGCTGGTTCCTCAGAGTATAGGGAAGAGCCAGAGCAGAAATGGTAGAAAGGACACAAGGGGGGAAAGGAAGACTGCCAAGGAACAGTGGGAGATGGGACAGGAGCAACTTTTGGGAATCTGCTGGTACACTGAGAATCTAGGTTCACCTCTTGAAGAACCTGGGCAATAGAAGCTTCCAGGGGACAGGACCTGGGAGTCCTGATGACTCACCTCACTCTCACGACCTCACAGTCACTAAGGAGAAGGATCAGAAGTAGAAAGGTTATTATTCCCATCCCACAGAAGGAAAGACTGAGGTCCAGAACTATACAGGATCAAACACTAGGACTAAGATCTCTTGCCACTGGACAGCTTAAGGCTCTACATCAAGACCTCCTTCAAGCCAAGTAACCTGGACAAAGAACCTTTGGCTTGAACTGGTAAAGCCCTCCCACTCACCCCGTCTGACCACATTCCTCCTCCTCACCCAAGTTCAACTAGGAACAATGGGAGTGTCTAGAACCTATTTCAGTGGGGCCATAGGCTACCAGACCTCCCACCCCCAGGCTCTGAATGAGCAAAGCCTCAGGCCATCAGCACCCTGAACTCAGAATATCAGGGTTCTTGTGAAGGTTCAAACTCCCATCTCCCCATCTAAGAAGACCACGTCACCCAATCCAAAGATGGGGGAATCTGAGGGTCATAGAAACTTTCTCCACTCAGCATCAGCCTGCTGTGCTGAGCCAGACCCAGGAAGATTCTGTCCAGGTCAGACAAAAACCCAGAGAGCTGGGCTTTACCTCTCCCTATCCCTCCCTGCACCTGCTAATGCCCCACCACCATGACCCCTCAAGCTGGCTCCCTTCTGAGGCAGACAGAGATGGCTTTGTAAAAGGCCTAAGATCAGATCTCCCCTGGGGACTTATACTTCCCTTCATTAAGGAGACCCCAGTCTACTAGTCCAGCTACTCATCAGGGATGGGGTAGGGGTGGGGGCTCACTAAGCAACACTCACACTGGGTGCTGAAGAATCCGGGGCTTGAGTTGAGGGCTCTAGCCAGACTGAGACTGCTCTAAGACAGGAGGGTCCCACCCCTAGCTCCTCAGGGCCTTCCCTCCCACCCACAGAGCCTAGTTCTCCACGGCTGCCCAGGCACACAGCCTTCCCAGGATCAACAAGGCCACATCATAAATCCCGGAACACTCTGCAACGGTTAAGAAGTGATAGTGGCTGAGGTCAGTCCACTGCAGCTTCTTTGCCGGGGTGGGGGTGGGGACCTCTCTGAGGGTTGTAATCAGGGATGCATGCAGGTTTCTAGAAAAGAGAAAAAACAGAATTGGATCTGGCCCTTTTTGACTGGAGCAAAACCAAGTATGTATGTTATGCCCCATTAGAGAACTGGCTAATCTGTGATAATAATAATAGAATCATAGGATTCAAAAGAATCTAGGCAGATCTGAATATGAAACATCAGTGTCCTGCCTGTACCTATGGGGAAACAGCTAATGGCAACTCAGGCTGCATCAACAGATATCTAACAGCCAGTAATAGGAATGAATAATCTTACTTTCACCTATACTACCCAGGCTACCTGAAGTCCCATGCCCAGATCAAGGCCCAACACAGAGAAAATAGTTACCAACTAGGTCAAATCCAAGGGTATGTTCAAGGTGGGGAGAAGCCTAGAGGCCACGTCCTGTGTGTGTTGCCTGAAGAAACTATAGTTATGCTGTCTAAAAAGACCTCCTAAGGAGCCAGGATTATAGCACACTCCAATAATTCCAACGACTCAGGAGGGTGAGGCAGAAGTTCAAAGCTAGTCTTAGCAACTTTGTGAGACCCTGTCTCAAATTTTTAAAAAATTTTAAAAAGGGCTGGGGATGTAGCTCAGTGACAGAGTGCCCCTGAGTTCAATTACCAGCACCTAGCACCACACACATACACGACACAGCCCCACTGTTGTCTTCTCGATCTCTGCAGGTTGACTTAAAGCCAAAATAAGAGAGTAGTTCCATGGCTATCAAAGCAGAGCCAGGGTCAGGATAGAGACTTACAGAAAGGAAAAAAGAAGAAAAAAAAAAAATCCTATGCTCACTATAAGAAAGAGATTGTTGCCAGGTGCAGTGGCACATACTTGTAATCCCAGCAGCTAGGGAAGCTAAGGCAGGAGAATCACTAGTTCAAAGCCAGCCTCAATAACTTAGTGATGCACTAAGCAATTCAATGAGACCCTATCTCTAATAAAATATAAAAAAGGGCTGGAGATGTGGCTCAGTAGTCAAGTGCCCTTGGGTTCAATCCCTGGTACCAAAAAAAAAAAAAAAGAGAGAGAGAGAGAGAGAGAGAGAGAGGAGAGAGAGATTGTTACTTCTAAGCCGCCTTAGAAAAGGTTACCTGAAAATGGAGGAAGCCCCATCACAGGGCATGTGCAAGCAGAGGAAAAGTTGTTAATTATAGATGTGTTGTGCTAGGTTGCTTTCTTCACTCCTTGGTTTGGCCATTCCTGGGATATTCTACTTTTGGGGGTGGGGGAGGTATTGAGGAATTGAACCCAAGGGAGTTTTAACAATGAGCTACATTCCTAGCCATTTTCATTTCTTTATTTTATTTTTCTTATTTTTATTTATTTATTTTTGGTGGGGATTTAACTCAGGGGCACTTGATCACTGAGCCACATTTCCCAACCCCATTTTGTATTTTATTTAGAGACAAGGACTCATTGAGTTGCTTAGAACCTTGCTTTTGCTGAGGTTGGCTTTGAACTGGTGATCCTCCTAACTCAGCCTCCTGAGCTGCTGGAATTACAGGCATGCGCCACCAGGCTTGGCTCCTGGAATATTCCAGATGGGAAATCCAAAGCATATATGAAAAGTGGGATCCAACAGGCCTACTACTGCTCCAGATGACCAGGTAACCTTCAACAACTACCTATGCCTTAGTTTCCCAACAGGTATGCCAAGAGTAGGTAACAGGTATACAAAGTATGCTGAGGTTATCTATCCTATTAGCCCTCAGGGCCAGCCACAAGTGTCAGTGCAAACAGCCTACTCAGTTTAATGCTATATGTTGTATAAATATTATATATTTTTTTTAGACTATGACTGCTTTATACCACGTCTTCCTTTTCCTGTGGCATTAGGTTGGGGGGGTCCTATCCATTTATTCAACAAATACATTCTGACTCAGATGCATTATCTACCCTCAAGGAGATCCTGGTCTGGTGTGGAAGATAGACACAAATATATAAGTATATGAAAGATAACACAGGGAACTGTAAGCACCCAGAAAAGGGAGTTATAAGTTTGTCCCAAAGGGAAGGCTTTCTGGAGGAGAAGACATCTTGGTAGAGTTCTGCTGGATGAACTAGAGTTGGCCAGAGTAATGGGAACACTGATGCATTATCTGAAACAAGCACTAAGTCAGAAAAGAGTAATCCTCTCCCTCAGATCACCTGGTCACTCCTTTTCCTTCCAGTCCTATTCCTTCTGATAGCTCCTAGCAACAGGTCTCATCAGACTAAGTGCCTATACTCAAAGACTCATGCCTATCCACTGACAAATCTGAGGGAAAACTTCATGTCATATGAACAAAAGAAGTGGGTTCCATCCCAAACTCCTAACCAGACCTCTCTGCTACTTCTTCCTCTTTCTCTGAAGCAGATGCTCTTTTAGGTCCACAACTTCCTATAAAGGAAGTTAGCTGAGGGCCTTCAAAACTCTCTCAGAAACTAGCCCAAGAGTCCATGTTCAGGCCCTGGTTTTTCACCTAGAGTCCCAAGGATAACTTCATCTCCTGCCCGCCTTCCTCTCTAACAATCTCTTCTTCCTCATTCTCCTGACCCTCACCCTTCACATTCCCCAAACTACTTTCTCATCTTTGCAATATCTAGAGCTCTACACTAGCCCTGGAAAAGGAGTAGGACAGGAATCATCAACCTCACTATTTAATTTTTTAGTACTGGAGATTGAACCTGGGGGTGCTTTACCACCAAGCTACATCCCCAGTCCTTTTTATTTTGAGACAGGGTCTCACCAAGTTGCTGAGGCTGAGCCTCCCGCCTCATTCTCTCAAGTCATTGGGATTACAGTTATGGGCCACTGTACCTGGCTCAACCTCACTTTAGACATGGGTAACTGAAGCTCTGGGTCTCAGTGGATGAATTAAGAACATAGCAGAGGTTAATGCAAGTCTCACCCTATTTACTCTGATATCCTACAGAGAAAGAACTCTCCTATCTTCATGGCCCAGACACCCCATATTCTCATCCAGAGGGTAGATGACAATTGGTGGAGCCTCAGTGCTCATGAGACCCACCCCAGAACATATAATACATGCACATAATTGGGTTCCCATATAGACAGGCACTGATAAGAGTTTCTTTTACATATATACCCCACTCAAAGCCATTATATATAGTTATATCACTCACACACATACATATACATATACAGAATCACATTCTCAAAAAGACAGGCACAAGCCCACAGTGCCACTATGAGACCCAAAATGCCTTCAGTCCTGTTCTGTTTACATTCCAGCAAATGCTGGGGCTCCTGAATGTGTCCTCTTTGAAGTAATGATTGAGTTGTGGGTTTGGGGGCTGCCCAATTTCAGTGGCCCCAGTCCCTAGAACCTTCATGGAAGGTGGAGGGAGTCTAATCCTTGAGACCTCAATTTTCAGGTAACCCCCCCACAAGAAGTCCAGTATATTTGATGGACCCTACTGGAAAGCTGGTTAATCCTATCAAAATAAAATCAGGATCCAAAATAGATCAAGATGGGCCTGAATATGAGGTATGAGTGCCCCCGAAGCCCTACCCCACAGTGTGTGGCCGTTGTCTCCTTGAAGTGGAAGAGCAGGGACCAGAGGATGCAGAAGAGGAAGGCGATAAATGGACAGCAGACCGTGACCAGGACCACCAGGGTGAAGCGGAGCCGAACCAGGATCCCATCCCGATCCAGTGGCAGTGGAACCTGGTACATCTTGTCAGACCTGGGGATGGAGTGGTGTGCTGTCAGGGCCCCATACAGCAGGCTGGGACTCAGTGAAGTCAGCCCTTGTGTTCAGGTGGGGCGTCTGAGAATAATGTTTCCTAAATTTGGACAGCTTCCGCCATGGATAAGGAAGACTGACTCAGAATCCCAAGACAACACTCAAACTCAATTTCAGAGGGAAGACAATGAACCCAATCTAGAGTAGGATGAAGCTTGAACAGACTGGGAGACCTTCTCCTCACTCCTCTGCCTGGCTTCTAGGACTACAGAAGCTAGTTTATCTAGTCTCTTGTTTCTACAACCAACCAGTGGACAGAATAGCCCATCTCCTCCCCAAAGCCTCTGAGCCTAAGGCCAAGTCTCCAGGCTTCACCCACTGGCTCAGAGCCCTCCTGCACCCTCAGTCCCTTCTGTGTGCAGGCAAAGCAGTTCACAGCATTAGGGCCTCTATGGAAGCTGAGAGAACCTCAAACTCCTGTTTGTCCCTGCCTATTGCCTCACGTGCTCTGAGGGTGAAAGGCTTTGCAGAATCAGGCCTGGCATTAGTCTAGGCTTGCTGTTTGCAGGAAAGAGTTGCTTGGTCAGCTTCTGGAGGCTTCTCAGTCCACCCTCTCCCTGAGACTACAGGAGAGCTCTTGAGGACTTGATTTTTCCCTCAAACAAGGGTATCTAAGGTCAAGAACCATAATAGCTAAAAAGAACACCAACAACACCATCAGTTAATAGCAGGGAAAATTAAGGCAGGTATCTACTCAAGGTCCTGTAGAAAGTAGATGGAGAGCCAGCAGTAGGGAGGTGCAGAGCCCTTGAAAAGTTTACACATGGCAACTCTGGCTCTTCTTTACCCCTTCCTCTCTGGGTCAGAGCTCTGGGCAGAAAATTCAGATTAAGACTGGAATGAGGGTGGGAAAAGAAGGAAGAAATAGAAAAACCAAATCCTACAGAGTTTAGCCAATCAGCCCAGTTCCCACTGTAGTGATAGAGAAAATAAGATGCAGAGGGAGAAAGGCCTTTCTTCAAAGCTGGGCCTGAGCAAAACTATCTCTGGAATTTAGGCTTCTTGATGCCAAATTAGGGCTGGTTCCAGATACATAAAAAAAAAAAAAAAAAAAAAACCTGCCCTTCTGGTCTCAAAGGCCTTGCCAAATCAAGTCCTAACTCTCCCTGGCCCCACCCACAGAAAGAACTTTGACCTGTTTAGGTTGGCATCCTGGCATTCCAGAACAATCCAGGTGGATAAGCTTCTGAATTCTCATCTACCTTCCCTTTATGCCAGGCCCAATCAGGCTGCCTGTCCCAATTTTTCAAGTTTCTTTTTCCCTTGGGTGGTAGGGAGGTGGTCAGGGATCTCCCCAAGGAGTTTAAAGTGGCTCTGGTACCTTCCCTAATCCAACACATTCCCTGGATCATCTCTACTCGCCCTGGAAGTCCCTCAGGGCCCTAGTTGGAAAGCACCCCACCCAGTCCAAACCAAGACTCTACAGTTGCAGTATACCTAGTCCATCCTCCCAACATCCCTCTTCAAAGCCTGTAGCTCCAGGTCCCTCAGGAACCCCTGGGTTGATGAGGTTGTTTCAAGGGACAGTTTCCAAAACAAAAAAGGATAGTCTGTTCCAGTTTGTTCTTGGAGGTATGTCTGTCCTCTTTCTTAACTGTGTGATCTTGGGCAAGTCAACTAGGCACTCTGGGCCTGTTTCCACAATTGTGCAAGGAGGAGATCAGACGGTTTAGATTACTTTTAAGGGCTCTCCAATTTAGTCACACTGCTCTTCCACACCTCTGGACAGGGAGCTCACTACCTATAGTTTTGCCCCCCAGACAGCTTTAACTTCCTCACACATACTACTTAGTAGAAAACTGCTTGCTTAAGAGTATTCCTACCTCACATCCAAAGTTCCTAGAGATTTTTTTCAGCAGACACTCCCATCACATTTAATGGCTGCCTATAAGCACCCTGTTCAGCACTTAATAATATACATTGTTTCTTTCAATATAATTCCATGAAGTGGCACTATAGGCTGTGTTTCCATTTTACATAAGAGGAAAAGAGTTTAAGATGGTTAAAAACACTTACTCAAAGTCACAGGCTAATAACTGGCAGAGCTGAGATTCGAAACTAGTCTATGGGGTTCCAAGGCTACCCCATGCCTCCATCCGCAGCACCTGGGAGGAATCCTGACCAGGAGGCCCTGCAGAGTAAAGAAGGGAGAGCTTAATCCCTGCACACCTCGCTCCACGCTGGGGAGGGGAAGGAAGGAGGTCAGTTCAGGACATCCGGACAGAAGCAGTTCCTGGGATACAGAGAGTGTGCGGGAAGAAGGCAGGCACCAGGACCCGAGAGATTCGGCCCGCTCCTGAAGCGGCTAGACCGCGTGGCCTAACTTCCCGAATGGGGCTGCCCCGTGGGCGGGTATAGCCATCCCTATACTTACCCAAGCACTAGTGACGAAGAGGCCGCACCAGCGCAGTACGGGAACTTGGGGGTTCCAGGAGAGGCCCCGCCGGCCGGGGGCTAGCAGCTGGGGGCCTGCCGGAGCTGCAAGAGCGCGGGGCGGAGCCGGTGCGCGCGGGGCGGAACTTAGGGAGGAAACTGCTCCCCCACCGATTGTGGGCTCTTCCCGGCTTCTAGGGACCCAGACCCCTGGCTCTTCCCCCTTAATCTGGCGTCCCCACAAACCATGTCCCTCCAGCCCTGATCGGCCCCAGTAATTCTGCTTTAATGTTGTTGTTTTATTTTGTTGGTACCGGGGATTGACCCCAGGGGCACTTAAACGAGTGAGCCACATCCCCAGCCCTTTTTATTTTTTTTATTTTGAGACAGGATCTCGCTAAATTGTTGAGGCTGGCTTTGAACTTGCGATCCTCCTGCCTCAGTTTCCCCAGTTGCTGGAATTACAGGCACGCGCCAGGCGCCACTAATTCTGGCAGCGTGAGGGCAGTCAGACATCTAGGAGTGAAGTGCTGGATAAGTTACTTTGTCACCTTACCTCTCGGCCGCGTCCCCATCACCTGTTGAAAGAACATAAAGTTAATCGAACAGGACCCCGATTTCTGTCATTCCCTGACCCCAGTTTCTCCTGTCTTCCACCCACATCCTAAATGAATTATCCCGTCTCGCCCTTCTGAAATATTAAGGCTGATTTGCCCCAGCTTCGGCGCCCCTCCTCCAAACCTTGCTCCTCTGAGCTGGTTGGGGCATTTCATTCTGGGGAAGAGCACCTTGCAGGCTCTGAGACCCTGTGAGGCTCACCCCGAAAATTCTGGGCCAGTGATGTTCCCACATTTGAACAGGAGAGGGCGCTCTGTCTTGTCTAACAAAAGCATAGGGAGAGAGGATCTGCCCAAGCCTTGGGCCTTCCCACAAAGAGGGTTGATCCCAGAAATCAACTCCCAGGTTCCTTCCCCAAGCTGGTCCCTGGCTCCTTTGCAAAGACCATTCTATTCCACAAGAACCGAGAATGAGGAAACAAAAGCAGTGCGTGGAGGATTTCTGAACTAGACAAGGTTAACATCACACCTTTCTCATTTAAATCCTCAAAGTAATAATTAACACGTTCTGAGCACTCACTATATCCCACTCACTTTTCTACATGTTATGTGTTATTTAATCTTCATAAAAATCCTGTGAAGTAGACACTATTAACATCTCCATTTTCCAATGGAAAATAGAAGGTACCTTACCTACTCAGCTAGTAAATATCAGAACCAGGATTCCATCCTGGCACCTGAGGTCATTCCCTCAATCACTATATACTGCTGGTCCCATAAGATAATTATAATTGCCACTTTGCAGAATGGGAGACAGGCTCAAATTTATCAACTTGCCAGAACTCTTTTTCATGCATTTAGTCTTGTTCATTCATGCCAGGCCCTCTCTGTGGTAGACACTTGTAGGGGACCCACAGACATATTTTAGACTCACTCGTTGAGACTTCAAACCTGGAGGGATGGTGTCTTGTTCTAAAATAAGACTTTAAATTCTCCCCACCCTGTTCTTTTTTAAAAAAAAAATATTTATTTTTTAGTTGCACACAATATCTTTATTTTGTTTATTTTTATGTGGTGCTGAGGATTGAACCCAGGGCCTCGCACATGCTAGGTAAGCGCTCTACCACTGAGCCACAATCCCAGCCCACTACCCTGTACTTAAGAGTTAGGGCTCAGAGAAAAATGATTACTAAAACTCTACTTAAAAGAACCACTTCCATCTGATTTCAACAAATAAATTTTGGTTTTCTTAGAACTTTGTGTCATCCTCCTTGCCTTCCTTCACTCTGTATATGCCTGCTTCTGGCCCATTTGCCTGAACCCTGACATTCTCTAATCTTGCCTTTAATTCTCTGGTGACCTGGGCAATGTGGGCCCTTTTAGCCCTGAGCCTTAGTTTCTCCGTTGTAAAATTGTTTTAGGACTATATACATCATACAGTTGTTGTGAGAATCAGAGCAATGTGCCAGGCATGTGGAAGGCACCCAATGCATGGTGGTTATTAAACCAGATGTGTGAGCTGCAGTTTGAACTCATCCTGGCTGAGCCTTCTCTGAATGATCTGACCTTGGCTGTCACTGATTCACTCTGAATATGTTTCTTCTCCTGTCAGTTTGAAAGGAAGAATGGGTTCTTCCTATGTGCCAGGGACTTTATGTCCACTCTTTCATTTGATCCTCAATAAATCTGGTGAGGTAAATTTAATGAAATACATTTTATAGCTAAAGAAGTTGAATGACCACTTAAGCTTCTACTCTTGCCCTCATTCAATAGGCACTCAGTGTTTGCTGAACTGGCCTTTGTCCATTGTCCATGTAGCTGCTGCTGCACTTGAGGGTTCCTGGAGTCTCTTGCCCTCCTGGTGAGGTTTGTCTGGAGTCTGTTTTAGTCACAATCACTGTACCACTCTCCCTTCCACACATACAGACTACACACTCCCAAGGAGACTGAATGTTCACGATGATGTTCCACCTCTAGTAGCAAGGTGGAAGTGTAGATGTAGGGGGCAGATGAGAGGATCAGAATATGGAAGTAATTGTCAAGGAAAGCTTCCTATAGGGGATCTCCTTCACTGGTCTCCTTGTCTTCATGTCTATCATCCTCCCCATTACAGCTAGACCAGCTCTAACCTAGGGCCTTGTGCACGCGAAGCAAGCACTCTACCAACTGAGCTATATCCCCAGCCCCAACTCTGTATAGCTTTTAGGATAAGAGCAAATTCTTTAGTGTGGTATTTAATATTCTTCATGAACTGGCCATCCAATGTTTCAAGCACAAATTTTATATTCTAGTTATACTTCACTCTCCCATGAAGTTTTACTCAACTTTCTTTGTATCTCCCCCCAACCCCAACTTCAAACCCCAAACCCCATGATCTTCCCACAGCATTAGGTGCCTTTTACCAAACTTTATTAGGGCTCTGACCACAAAGTAGCAAAATAATTTGTTTCTGTCCCTTTCCCCACTTTTCTGGGAACTCATTTAAAGAGGGAAACTCCACCCATTTCATACATTCCTTGCATAGGTATATAGTAGGAACTCAGAAAATATTTTAATTTAATTGAAGTGTTTCATTTTTCTTTCTTTTTCCTGATCTGGGGATTGAACCCATGGATGTTTTACCACTGACCCACATCTCAGCCCTTTTTTCTTTTTGAGATAGGATCTATACTAAGTTGTAGAGGCTGGCCTTGAACTTAGTTGCAGATGGACATAATACCTTTATTTCATTCATTTTATTTATTCATGTCGTGTTGAGAATTAAACCTGGTGCTCCACACATGTAAGGCAAGCACTCTACCACTGAGCCACAACTCCAGTCTGGCCTTGAACTTTTGATTCTCCTCTCTTAGCCCCCAGAGTAGCTGATATTACAGGTATGCACCACCATACCCAGTTGAAGTGCGCTTTGAAGGATGGGCAGTATTTAGATAGATCAAGCAAAGATTTAAGAACCACAGGAAGGCATTTGAAGAACAACTTCTAGGAATGGGGGACAAAGTGAGGAGCAAGGCTAAGGACAGTGAAGAGGCAGAGATGCAGACAGTGCTAAAAATACATCCAACTTCAGGCCACAATGTGCCTCAGCCTCCTTGGAAGCCTTAAGAAAATCAGTCTCTTCCTGGGTTGAGGATTTGTTATTCTTCATTCTTCTCAGAGATCTTTTAAATGACCAAGACATCTTCTTTGGATGGCTTTAAACTATCCATCCAAGACTTACCTATCTACTTCCAGAACCCTGATTCAGTTACTGAATTTTCATTGTTCTATAGAACTTTCTTTGTTCCCTCTTTCACTTCCAGTTTGTATTCCTGGATATGCTACATTCTTTCCTGGCCCTTTTGCTTCCTCAGTTTATGTGGCCTAGAATGTTCTTATTTTTCCCTTTTGAGAGAACTCTACCCATCCTATAAAGGGTACTAATTAGCACGAAAATATTTTCACTGTTTTTTTTTTTTTTTTGTCATTTATACCTCTGTCTTCTTAAATTCTTTTTGGATTATTCCATTTTTTCCCCGGTATTATTATTTTAGTGATCTCCCTAGAAATTACCATATGCATTCTTTTTTCTTCATTTTTGTTGTTATGGTTCTTGTTGTTTTGGTACCAGGGTCTGAATTCAGGGGCACTTAACCACTTAGCTGCATCCCCAGCCATTATTTATATTTTATTTAGAGACAGGGTCTCACTAGTTGCTTAGGGCCTTGCTAAATTGCTGAGGCTGGCTTTGAACTCCCAATTCTCCTGCCTGAGCCTCCTAAAACATTGGGATTACAGGTATGAACCACCATGGCATGTTTACCACATGCATTCTTCTTTTTTTTCTGTGCTGGTCATTGAACCCAGGGCCTTGTGCATGCAAGGCAAGCACTCTACCAACTGAGCTATACTCCCAGCCCATCACATGCACTCTTAATCAGAGACTCAACATCATTAGGGAAATGCATATCAAAACCACAATGAGCTGGGCCTGGTGGGGCACCCCTGTAATCCCAGAGGCTGGAGAGACTGAAGCAGGAGGATCACAAGTTCAAAGCCATATTCACCAACTCAGCAAGGCCCTAAGCAACTTAACAAGATCCAGTCTACTACTGCACATCCTGTAGGTTGACTATAATAAGGGAAAAAAAAAAAAGGAAAATAAGTGTTGGCAAGGATGTGGAGAAACTAGACCCCTCATATATAGCTAATTGGAAATGTTAAATGGTGCAGCCAATTTGGAAAACAGTTGGTGGTTCCTAGAAAGTTAAACATAAAGTTACCATATGACTCTGCAATCCCACTCCTAGGAATATACCCTGAAGAACTGAAAAAAGGTACTTAAACAGGAAACTGTACACATCTTTAGAGCAGGACTATTCACAATATCCAAAAGATGGAATTACCCCAAATGTTTACCAACAAATGAATGAATAAACAAAATATAGTATGTCCACACCATGGGATATTATTCATCCATGAAAAGGAACGAAGTACTAGTAGGTATATGTTACAACCAGATGAATTTTGAAAACATGCTAAGAAGCCACACACAAAAGGTCACACATTGCATGATTCCATTTATATGAAATATTCAGAGTAATTAAATCCATTGATACAGATTTGATAGTTATACATTGGAAGAAGAAGGGAACAGGGAGATACAGCTTAGTGAAAAAAGGGTTTAGCTTTACAATGATGAAATGTTATACATTACATAGAGATGGTAGCTGCATAAATATTGTGAATGTATTAAATCAAATACTACTGGAATTGTTTACTTTTTTCTTTTTTTGGCAGTGCTGGGGACTGAACCCAGGGGCTCAACAATGGGAAGTATTCTACCATTGAGTTACATTCCCAGCCAAAAGTATATTTATTTATTTATTGGTGTGGTGCTTGGGAATGCTAGTCAAGTGCTCTACCACAAGCTGCATCCCCAGCCCTTCATTTTTATTTTTTAAATTTATCTTTATTTATTTATTTATTTTGCAGTACTGAGGATCAAACCCAGGGATACTCTACCATAGAGTGACATCCCCAGTGGTCCTCCTTTACCCTTCCAGCACTTTTTATTGAGACAGGGTTGCCCAGTCTGACCTCAAACTTGCAATCCTCCTGCCTCAGCCCCCTGAATAGCTGGAATTCCAATGGGGAATTGGAATTCACCCTGCCCAGCTCCTTTACTTTCATAGTGCATATTTTTTTATGTTATTTTAACTTTACTTCCATAAATATTTTACAAAAACTAAAAAAGCGATTTTAAGAATCAACAGGTAAAAATCAGAAATAAAGCATTTGACCCATGTGGGAAAAAATGAACCACAAATTACTAGCAATTCCATTCCTAGGGATAGATGCAAGAGAATTGAACACATATGACTACAAAAAAAATTGTACACAATGTTTAAAGCAACATTATTCATAATAGCTAAAAATAGAAACAACCCAAATGTCTATTAACTGTTTTTCTCTCTTTTTGGGTAGGGGGGATTGAACTCAGGGACACTTGGCCACTGAGCCACATCTCCAGTCCTATTTTGTATTTTATTTAGTGACAGGGTCTCACTGAGTTGCTTAGTGCCTTGCTTTTGCTGAGGCTGGCTTTGAACTCAGGATCCTCCTGCTTCAGCCTCCTGTGCCTCTGAGATTACAGGCATGTGCCAAAGTGCCCAGACATTAACTGTTTTAATGGAATAACAAAATGTGGCACAAGCCTGTAATCCCATTGGCTCAACAGGCTGAAGCAAAAGGATCCCAAATTCAAGGCCAGACTCATCAACTTAGTGAAGCCTTAAGCAAATTAGTGAAACCCTGTCTCAAAAAGGCTGGGGATGTAGCTCAGCAATAAAGCACCACTGGGCTCTAATCCCCAGTGCAAAAAAAAAAAAAAAAGTCAAAGGTATGTACTCAAGATTTCTAAAACTCCAATTATATGCTATTTATCAACCTCACCCTTTCTTATCAAGTTCAGGGAAAGAGAAAGGGAGTCAACATTTACTGAGTGTTTACCATGAGCCAAACATGCTCAGTTTTTTACAAATCCCATCACCTCAATT